TGCCAAGTTGTTGATGTCGACAAATCCCGTACGCACCAGTGATTGCATCGTGCGGGATTATAAGCTAAAACCGAATGTTTTATTTTTGCTGCAGCGAAGCAATGCTAGTTAACTAGAAATTACCAAGCGCGCTTAACTGAAACAACTGATAATCTTATATCAGGTGTTACGGTATTACCATCCACGGAATATAAAACTCACCATGGCAGAGTTTGCTAATATCTGCACTGGAAAATATGCAACTTTTACGGGAAGGCAAATGCAAAAAATAAAATAACTGGCATGGACACCACACAGATCTCGTTACAGACATAAAACTCCCAACAGTTCTATGAGACATAGAATACACATACACCCTCGTTCAAATTAATTGAAACGACCACTTTAGTTTCCTTTATTTCCCAATACGGTCAGTTTTAAACCCACTGGAATGACTGGGTATAATCGATTTTTATTTTTTTGTTCTTCAGATTAGGTCATTTGGAGTCGGGTACAGTAATATAAATTTATTTTCGGAGTGTGTGATGAAATTTGTTTGGCCTTGAAAAATATTCCATAATCTGTGATTGCATCAGATTTTTATCGCTCCCAAACACTATTGTCTCGACTGTCGATTAGTTGTCCTACAGCCATTGTCTGCGATGGACTATACTTCAAGAAAGCGTACAAAAATTGTAACGCTGCATGGACACACTGACAAGTCTTAGCAGTGAGCAAATCAAAGTACTATAGACTGGACCGGAAACTCTCCTGATTTAAATCCAGGCGAGAATCTGTTGTCAATCTGCAAGGAACGACTTCGAGGTATGTACTAACATGTGCACTACGTCATGTTTCATTGGAAAAATACGAAAAAAAAAAGTAAATAATAATGGAATTATTCGTTTGGTTTCAATTAATTTGCACAAGGGTGTACACACAGAACAATCAAAGCTAATCCCAGGGCATAGTGATGAAAGACCACTAAAGCAGAAAGTTCTTTAATATTGACATGGAATTTACTGCAACCTGTAACATATATTCAATTTTGTAGGTTATTACTTTTATTACCTGATAATCCTCCTATCGATGAAAATATATGTTGGTATACGTATATTGTATTGTTTGTGTCTACTCAAATGTGTATATTTTTATTGATAGATGTATATATATGTATATGAATTTTTATAAAATATATATGTATATATATATATATATATGTGTGTGTGTGTGTGTGTGTATTTTTGCATTTGTGTTGTACTTGTGTATGTATGTATAGGTTTCTGTGTGTATGTCTGTGTGGTTGTATATATATATATGTATAGTTGAATGCGTGTATATTTATGTGTTTGTATGTATATATGAATATATCTGTACTTGTAGTTATATGTTTATATATATATATATATATATATATATATATATATATATATATATATATATGAAGAAATATAGTCTTAAGATGTGCTATATTTATGGGATAAAGTGCTCAATATCAGAGATAGAGCGTGTGTAAATATAAAAGTGAACATAGAAGTCAACACTTTGAGGCGACAGTCTGTTTCATATAAGATGCAATCGTCAGGCCTGACGATTGCATCTAGCATGAAACAGACTGTCGCCTGTAAGTGTTCACTCCTATTTTCACTTTTATATATATATATATATATATATGTTTGTATTGATACCTGTTATATATATCTATGCGCTTGTATATGTATGAATGTGTAAACTTAGGTACGTATCTGCATATGTGTATGCCTGTATATGCCTATTTATATGTATATTTGTGTATTTGTATATATGTATATATATATATGTATATATATATATATATATATATATATATATATATATATATATATATATATATATATACATATGTGGGGTGTATATATATGTGTATTTCTTAGTGTCTTGGAATATATCATGAATACTAACTATAATCTACTTTTGTTTAATAATGGTTTTATAATTCCTTGTAGATTCAATAATCAACAATTGTGTCTCGTTACATTGTAATCTTGTGTGGACTTTACAGTCCTTTATTGTCACTAAGATAATTTTGTTAGAAGTTGTGTAGTTTTATATATGTTTATGAGTATATATGTGTGTATGTATGAATATATATAAATATATATATATATATATATATATATCTGTGCGTGTGTATATGTATATATATATATATATATATATATTTGTCTTTATATATGTGTATGTATGTGTTTATATATATGTATACGTTTGTATATATATATATATATATATATATATATATATATATATATATATATATATATATATATATATATATATATATATGTGTTTTATATATGTGTGTATGTATGTGTGTATATATTTAGTTTATTTACTTTTTTATGGTGCTGGGTAAGTTGATATATTTATATTTATTTCTATATGTGTATATATGTATATGTCTACGTGTGTATGTATGTGTGTATGTATGTATATGTGTATATATAGGTATATATATATATATATATATATATATATATATAGGTATATGTGTATGTATATGTATGTGCGTAAGTATGCTTTTGTATGTTTTTATATGAAGAATGTGTGTACACGTATGTTTGTGAGTATTTTTTTATTTTCTTCCCACATTGTTATATATTTGTATTTCTGTATGTGTACTAACACGTATATAAGTATAACTGATATAGTCATATATATTTATATATATTTCTATGTTTAAGACTTTTCTCTTTTTATATATTAGTGTTATTTTTATGCGTATATATCTATTTTTCGATCCATTTCTGTATATTTTAATGTCCTTTTTCCTTATGTTGTTCATTGACGGATATTTGTTTTTTCTATTCTACCCGCATTAAACTTAATCTATTCAAACATTATATCTATATATCTTTGCCCGCATAAATTATATTTTAATAGTATGTTTGAATTCGTTTACTAACACTTTCAATTTTAAATATTTCTTAGTGGGTATATGTCCGTGTTTTTATCAACGTATGTGTGTATAATCGCTTATATGTGCCTTTCATTGTAAATATATGCTATTTTTGTTTTTTGTTTTTTTTTAAGGGCTGTGGGCATATTTCCTGTCTCATCACCTTTTTGTGTGTTTATATATCTAAATATGTCTACGTGTTTGTGTATTATAATCTGATTGTATATGTATTGTCTTTTGCAACATCTCCCCTGTCAATATCTTCACTTCAAATATAATGGAGCTCAGGGCAACATTAGATTTTAACGTTTATTCCAGCTTAATATTTGGCCTTTCAATAAAAAAAATGAATAAATAAATAAAAAGACATATGTATTTTTACTCAGTTTCTCCTTTAAATATTTTTAAAAAATTAATATAGATTAAATTTAAAATTTAAAATTTTTAATTTTTAATTTTATAGCATAATTGAATATTAATTAGTTTGAATGAATTCTATTTTAGTCTAACCCTAGCATTAAAACATTAAATAATTATTATAGCCAAAGTTTGTTGTCAAGTTTGAATTCTCATATTCTTTTGATTGGTCACTCCAGATTATGCAACAAAGTTTCCTTTAATGAAGGGTGTTTGGTTCATTTGAACGTTTCAAAACCCTTTATTTTACATTCAGCACAATCACTTGATAAGACACCAGGAGTGTTGAAACGAAATGGCTATTTTTGAAGTGATTTTATAACATATCGATGCTATAGTTTTCGAATAAAGAATGATATTTGCTCTACTCTGTTATTGAGCAACCTTTTAAGAATAGTATTTTATGGTTATTGGAATTTATTTTATATATATATATATATATATATATATATATATATATATATATATATATATATATATATATATGAGTTATTGAATTTATTTTACATATATATATATATATATATATATAAAAATAAATTCCAATAACCATAAAATACTATTCTATTATGAACTATAGTATTATGAACGTTTGAAAACCTTGGGAAAGGTGTGAATCCTCTTCTTCTCCCTCCAGCTATGAGTTCTATAGCCTTGGATGGCAACTGGTCTAGGAGAAGGACAACTCTGAATTCTAAGCCTGCGGAGGGTCGTTTGGGGAGCTTGTGGCACTTAGTCCACCAGGTCTCTGTATTCGGTCCTTCAAAAAGTGTGGCTGGTCCTGCACGAAACCTTCACCACTATAATCAAGTCACATGTGCTGTTGTCGGGCTGTCGGTTTCCTGGGAACTGATCTGCTTGAACCACATACGTCGAATTCGACGGGAGAGTCGACTATATATATATATTGAAAATGACATTATTAATTTGAAGAATTTCTTTTCCGAAGTGGAACGCGTCCCGTAGAAGTTGTTTCCTCCAGCCTGTCATTCAACTGCCCAGTTATATTTATTTAAACTATAGTTACAGTCTGAATTTCGATGGTATCTCTTCTCACATAGCCAGACGTTGATATCCGAAGCCAGGTAAAAGGCAAATAAACGTCTGCTACGATTACAGAACAGACACTCTCTTCCTTACTTGGAATATCAAGTCTACACAACTATTTCTTCATCAATTGCATTTTTTCTCCATTTGAACTTATGTTGAATTTACTAAATATCAACAGAGTCGATCTATCATCAATCTGGCGCCATTTTAGCTTCTGACGTCGGGTTCAAAGCAAAAAAATGAAATGTTAGAAACGAAACGTGTATAAACCAAAAATATGCACCCCCTCATAAAATAAAACGGGGAGAGGTTATGAATTATTTATACTTGATTTATTGTCAAAGACAACTTTTACGGGCAGATGAGAATACAGACGGTATTTATTGGCTGTTTTTAATGTCTGATTCTCCTTTTGTGTCTACTTATTTTATAGTTCAATGTTTTATTTCGAACAATTGTAGAAAACGGCTCTAAGGAAATATTTCAATGTGTTGGGAAAGAAAGACGTTGGAAATCAATTAAATATGAACGAAAAGAACAGCCGAAAGAAAATAAAGAAAGCGAGCGCGCTAAGAAAGTTTGAAATAAATATGGCTCATAGGACGATAGAAACAATTCACGGAAAAATGTAGCTGATAAGAAAGAAAGAAAGAAAGAAAGAAAGAAAGAAAGAAAGAAAGAAAGAAAGTGTGAAAGAACGCAAGATGATTAAAAACATGTACAGAATCGAAAGTATGTGGAAATAAAGGAGGGAAAGGGAGAGGTAAAGAAAGAAGGAAAGAAACAAAAAAAAAGAATGAAACAAAGAAAGAAACAAAGAAGAATAAAGTGCGAAAGAACGCAAGATGATTAAAAACATGTAGAGAATCAAAAGTATATGGAAATAAAGGAGGGAAGGGAGAAGTAAAGAAAGAAAGAAAAAAGAAAAAAAAGAAGAAAGAAAGAAAGAAGAATAAAGTGTGAAAGAACGCAAGATGATTAAAAACATGAAGAGAATCGAAAGAATGTGGAAATAAACAAGGGAAGGGAGCCGGTAGTCGAGAAAGAAAGAAAGAAAGAAAGAAAGAAAGAAAGAAAAAAAGAAAAAAAGGAAGGAAGGAAGAAGGACATCCCAAATGAAATTGTCTTTACTATTTGAAAGAAAGAAAAAAGAAAATAAAGAAATAATGAAGAAATAAAAGTAAGAAAAAAAAATGAAAGAATGTTAGAAGGAAAGAAAAACATACGAAATGAAATGAAATTAAACAGTTGAAAGATAGATGAAAATAATGAATGAAAAAAACAAAAAAAAAACAATGAAATTATCTTGACTAATAGAAAGAAAAAAAGAATGAATGAATAAATGAAAGAAAGAATGAAGGAAAGAAATGAAGGAGGGACAACAAAGAACTGGAAGAATGAAAGAAAGAAATAATGAATGAATATTAAAAAAGGAAAATTCAAATGGAATGATCTTGCCAAATTGAAATGAAGAAGTATCAAGTAAATGAAAGAAAGAATAACACCACAAACCAAATTACTTTGATTAATTGAAAGAAAGAATGAAAGAAAGAAAGAAAGAAAATGAATTAATCCATGAAAAAAAAGGAAGAAGAAAAAAATGAAGGAATGAAAGAAATAAAGTATATAGAAAGAAAGATAAACACTCAAAATGATATTATTTTGACAACTTGAAAGATAAAAGTACGGAATGAAAGAAAGAAAGAAAGAAAAAATGAATGAAAAAAAGAATGAATGAAAGTCAGAAAGAAAGACATCCCGAACGAAATGATCTTGATTAATTGAAAGAAATAAAGCAAGAATGAAGGAATGAAAGAAAGAAAGAAAGAAAGAAAGAATGAAAGAATGAAAGAAAGAAGTAGGGAAGGACTGATGAATAAAATGAAGGAAGAAAGGAAGGAAGGAAGACAATAATGGGGAAGGAAATTTAGTGAGGATGGAAACAGAAAATGTTTTAAAGATGGATTCAAGAATAAATGTTATAAGAAGAAGAATAGATAGAAAAGGAAGAAAAACGTAAGAAAGCTACATGAAAGAAAGAAAGAAAGAAAGAAAGAAAGAAAGAAAGAAAGAAGTAGAGAGGGAAGGAAGAAGAAAAAAGAGAGAATAAAGGGGAGACAGAAAAATTATGGAGGATGGAAAGAGAAAATGTTTTAAGCAAGATACAATACTAAACCAGAGAAGAAAAGAAAGAAAAAAAGAAAGGATGAAAAACGTACGAAAACGAAAAGAAAGAAAGAAAGAAAGAAGCTAATAAAGAAAGAAAAAAAGAAAGATAGAAAGAAAGGATGAAAAACGTAAGAAAACAAAAAGAAAGAAAGGAAGAAAGAAAGGGAATAAAGAAAGAAAGAAAGAAAGCAATGATGAAAAACGTAAGAAACCTAAAAGAAAGAAAGAAAGAAAGAAAGAAAGAAAGAAAGAAAGAAAGAAAGGAAGGTAATAAAGAAAGAAAAAAGAAAGATAGAAAGAAAGGATGAAAAACGTAAGAAAACAAAAAGAAAGAAAGAAAGAAAGAAAAAAAGAAAGAAAGAAAGAAGGTAATAAAGAAAGAAAAAAGAAAGATAGAAAGAAAAGGATGAAAAACGTAAGAAAACAAAAAGAAAGAAAGAAAAGAAAAGAAAGAAAAGAAATGGAAAGGAATGTTGGGAGAGAGAAAAAATTGGGGATGAAAACTACCACGAAGAAAGAAAAGAAAAGCAGGACGAATAGAAGGAACGAACGGAGGAAGAAGAAGGGATGAGGGGGGAGAAAAAAAACATGGTGTTGATGAAAAGAGAAAAAATGCTTTAAAACATGACCCAAGAAAAAAAAAAAAGAGAAGAAGAAAAAACGAAAAGATGAAAAAACTTTAGAAAAAATACAAGAAAGAAAGAAAGAAAGAAAAAAAAAGAAAGAAAGAAAGCAGGACGAATAGAAGGAACGAACGGAGGAAGAAGAAGGGATGAGGGGGGTGGAGAGAAAAAAAACATGGTGTTGATGAAAAGAGAAAAATGCTTTAAACATGACCCAAGAAAAAAAAAGAGAGAAGAAGAAAAACGAAAAGATGAAAAACTTTAGAAAAATACAAGAAAGAAAGAAAGAAAGAAAGAAAGCAGGACGAATAGAAGGAACGAACGGAGGAAGAAGAAGGGATGAGGGGGGTGGAGAAAAAAACATGGTGTTGATGAAAAGAGAAAAATGCTTTAAACATGACCCAAGAAAAAAAAAGAGAGAAGAAGAAAAACGAAAAGATGAAAAACTTTAGAAAAATACAAGAAAGAAAGAAAGAAAGAAAGAAAGAAAGAAAGAAAGCAGGACGAATAGAAGGAACGAACGGAGGAAGAAGAAGGGATGAGGGGGGTGGAGAGAAAAAAAACATGGTGTTGATGAAAAGAGAAAAATGCTTTAAAACATGACCCAAGAAAAAAAAAAAAAGAGAGAAGAAGAAAACGAAAAGATGAAAAACTTAGAAAATACAAGAAAGAAAAGAAAGAAAGAAAGAAAAGAAAAAGAAAGAAAGCAGGACGAATAGAAGGAACGAACGGAGGAAGAAGAAGGGATGAGGGGGGTGGAGAGAAAAAAAACATGGTGTTGATGAAAACAGAAGTATATAAAAAGAAAGAGAAACACTCGAAGTGATATTATCTTGACAACCTGAAAGATAAAAGTACGGAATGAAAGAGAGAAAGAAAAACGAATGAAAGAAAGAACAAAATGATATTGACTAATTGAAAGAAAAAAAGAAAGAAAAAAAAAGAAAATGGACGAAAGACAGAAAAGGCTTCACAAAGGGAATTCTGTTGTTTAACAACAGAATGACAGAATGAATATGACTGATCGAAAAGAAAAAAAAAAAACAAGAAATAAAGAAATAAAGACAACCCCTCCCCAAACAAAATTATTATGTCCCTAATAAATTTGGCTGATCGGGTAGAAATCAATGAATAAGTAATAAAGAAAGAAAGTTAGAGATTAAAATGTCGGAAAGACAATTATCTTGTCTAATTGGAAGACACAATCACGTGTAAATATGGATGACGAAATAGAAAGAATGAATGTTACACAGAAAGAAGAATATAATAATGTCCCAAACGAATTTATCTTTTCAATTGAAAGAAAGAAAGAAAAAGAAAAAAAAAATGAATATTTAAATTATTATACACATCGAGCAGAAAGAATTAAAGAAATATATAAAGAAGGGAAGAATTTAATAATTTTCAAGTTAATACAGCTGATCGAACAATAAGAAAGAAGGAAAGAAAGAAAGAAAGCAGAAATAAAGAACGATGGAAGGGATGGAAGGAAGACAAAAAGGGAGAAAGAAAGAAATGAAAAAAATAAAGAAAGAAAGGAAGACAGAAAGAAAGGAAGAAAAAAGAAAGAAAGAAAGAAAGAAAGAAAGGAAGACAGAAAGAAAGGAAGAAAAAATAAAGAAAGAAAGAAAGGAAGACAGAAAGAAAGGAAGAAAAAAGAAAGAAAGAAAAAAGAAAGAAAGAAAGACAGAAAGAAAGGAAGAAAAAAGAAAGAAAGAATAAAAGAAAGGAAACAGAAAGAAAGAAAGTAAGAAAGAAATAAAAAAGAAAGAAAGACGGAAAGAAAAGAAGAAAAAAAAGAAAGAAAGAAAGAAAGAAAGAAAGAAAGGAAAAAATAAATAAAGAAATAAAGAAAAACGGAAATAAATAAATAAATAAAGAAAGAAAGAAAGAAAGAAAAGAAAAGAAAAGAAAAGAAAGCAGGAAGAAATACACCCCAAACGAAGTTGTCTTGACCAATTGAAAAGAAATAAAAAAAGAATAAATGGAAGAAAGAATGAATGAATGGATGAAAGAAAGAAAGACATGACAAACGAGATTGACTTGAGTAATTGAGAGAAAGAAGGAAAGAAAGAAAGAATGAAGAAATTAAAGAAAGAAGGAAAGAAAAAGAATAAAGAAATAAAAGAAAGAAGGAAAGAAAGAAGAAAAAATAAAGGAAAAGGAAAGAAAGAATGAAGAAATTAAAGAAAGAAGGAAAGAAAGAAAGAATGAAGAAATAAAAGAAAGAAGGAAAGAAAGAAAGAAAGAAAAAATTAAAGAAAGAAGGAAAGAAAGAATGAAGAAATTAAAGAAAGAAGGAAAGAAATAAAGAATGAAGAAATGAAAGAAAGAAGGAAAGAAAAAAAAAGAAAAATTAAAAAGAAAGAAAGAAAGAAAAGAAAAATTAAAGAAAATTAAAGAAAGAAGGAAAGAAAGAAAGAATGAAGAAATTAAAGAAAGAAGGAAAGAAAGAATGAAGAAATTAAATAAAGAAGGAAAGAAAGAAAGAATGAAGAAATAAAAGAAAGAAGGAAAGAAAGAAAGAATGAAGAAATAAAAGAAAGAAGGAAAGAAAGAAAGAAAGAAAGAAAAAATTAAAGAAAGAAGGAAAGAAAGAAAGAAAGAAAAAATTAAAGAAAGAAGGAAAGAAAGAAATGAAAAGAAAAAGAAAAGAAAGAAGAAAAGAAAGAAAGAAAGAAGAAATAAAAGAAAGAAGGAAAGAAAAGAGAAAGAAAGAAAAACTGAAACAAAAGAAAGAAGGAAAGAAAAGAGAAAGAAAGAAAAACTGAAATAAAAGAAAGAAGGAAAGAAAGAAAAAAGAAATTAAAGAAAGAAAGAAAGAAAAGAAAAAAGAAATAAAGAATGAAAGAAGAAAAATAAAAAGAAAGAAGGAAAAAAGAAAGAAAAGAAAGAAGAAAGAAAAAAATGAAAAAAAGAAAGAAGGAAAGAAAGAAAAAGAATGAAGAAATTAAAGAAAAGAAGGAAAGAAAAGAAAGAAATGAAAGAAAGAAAAGAAGGAAAAGAAAGAAAGAAAAAAAAAGGAAAGAAAGAAGGAAAGAAAAGAAAAAAAAAAATTAAAGAAATTAAAGAAAGAAGAAAAAATAATAAAGAAAAGAAAGAAAGAATGAAAAATTAAAGAAAGAAGGAAAGAAAAGAAAGAAAGAAAGAAGGAAAGAAAAAAAAATGAAGAAATTAAAAGAAGGAAAGAAAGAAGAAATTAAAGAAAGAAAAAAAAAAAAAAAGAAGGAAAGAAAGAAAGAAAGAAATGAAAGAAATTAAAGAAAGAAGGAAAAAGGAAAGAAAGAAAGAAAGAGAAAAAAGAAAGAAAGAAAAGAAAAAGAAAGAAAAAAAAAGAATGAAAAATAATGAAAGAAGAAAAGAAAATGAAGAAATTAAAGAAAGAAAAAGAAAGAAAATGAAGAAATTAAAGAAAGAAGGAAAGAAAGAAAAATGAAGAAATTAAAGAAAGAAGGAAAGAAAGAAAGAATGAAGAAATTAAAGAAAGAAGTAAAGAAAGAAAAATGAAGAAATTAAAGAAAGAAGTAAAGAAAGAAGGAAAAGAAAAAAAAAGAATGAAAATGAAAAATTAAAGAAAAGAAGGAAAGAAAAAAGAATAAAAAATTAAAGAAAGAAGGAAAAGAAAGAATGAAAATGAAGAAATTAAAAGAAAGAAGGAAAGAAAGAAAAAAGAAAGAAAAACTGAAATAAAAGAAAGAAGGAAAGAAAGAAAAAAGAAAGAAGAAATAAAAGAAAGAAGGAAAGAAAGAAAGAATGAAAAATTAAAAAAAAGAAGGAAAAGAAAGAAAAATAAAATAAGAAAGAAAAAAAAGAAAGAAGGAAAGAAAAAGAAAAAGAAAGAAGAAAGAAAAGAAATTAAAGAAAGAAGGAAAGAAAGAAAGAATGAAGAAATTAAAGAAAGAAGGAAAGAAAGAAAAATGAAGAAATTAAAAGAAAGAAAAAGAAAATGAAGAAAAAGGAAAGAAAAAAAGAAAAATTAAAGAAAGAAAAAGAAAAGAAAGAATGAAGAAAAGAAAGAAAAAAAAAGAAAAAGAAAAAAATGAAGAAATTAAAAGAAAAGAAAGAAAAAAGAAAAAAATTAAAGAAAGAAGGAAAGAAAGAAAAGAATGAAAGAAATTAAAGAAGAAAAAAGAATGAAGAAATTAAAGAAAGAAAAAGAAAGAATGAAAAAATTAAAGAAAGAAGGAAAGAAAGAAAAAAAAGAAAGAAAAAAAAGAAAGAATGAAGAAATTAAAGAAAGAAAGAAAAAATGAAAAAAGAAAAGAAAAAGAAGAAAGAAATTAAAGAAAGAAGGAAAAAAAGAATGAAGAAATTAAAGAAATAAAATGAAAGAAAATTAAAGAAAGAAAAAAAAGAAAAAAAAGAAAGAAAAAATTAAAGAAAGAAAAATGAAGGAAATTAAAGAAAAAGGAAGGAAAGAAAAGAAAGAAAGGAATGAAAAAAAATAAAGAAAGAAAAAAAGAAAAGAAAAAAATAAAAAAAAAAGAAAAAACAAAGAAAAAGAAGGAAAAAAGAAAGAAAATGAAGAAAAAGAAAGAAAGAAAAGAAAAAAATAAAGAAAAATGAAAGAAAGAATGAAAATGAAAAATTGAAAAAGAAGAAAGAAAGAAAAAAGAAAAAGAAAAAGGAAAGAAAAGAAAGAAGAAAAAAAAAAAAAAGAAAGAAAAAAGAAGGAAAGAAAAAATAAAAAAATGAAATTGAAAAAAATTAAAAAAAAAAGAAGAAAAGAAAGAAAAATGAAGAAATTAAAAAAAAGAAAATGAAAAAAAAAAAATGAAAAAAGAAAAAAAGAAAAATGAAGAAATTAAAGAAAAAGAAAGAAAAGAAAATGAAGAAATTAAAGAAAGAAGGAAAGAAAGAAAAAAATGAAAAAATTAAAAAGAAAGAAAAAGAAAGAAAAAAATTAAAAAAAAGGAAGAAAGAAAAATAATTAAAGAAAGAAGAATGAAGAAAAGAATGAAAAAAATTAAAAAAGGAAAAATGAAAAATTAAAAAAGAATGAAAGAAAAATTAAAGAAAAGAATGAAGAAAAAAAAATGAAAAATTAAAAAAAAGAAAAAAGAAAAGAAGAAAGAAAAAATGAAAAAATAAAAGAAAAGAAAGAAAGAAAATGAAGAAATTAAAGAAAAGAAGGAAGAAAGAAAAAATGAAGAAATTAAAGAAAGAAGCAAAGAAAGAATGTAAATGAAAAAGAAAAAATGAATAAGAAAATTAAAAGAAAAAAGAAAAAAAGAAAGAAAGAAAGAAAAATGAAGAAATAAAGAAAGAAGAAAAGAAAGAAAGAAATTAAAGAAAGAAGAAAAGAAGAAATTAAAGAAGGAGAAAAAAAAAATGAAGAAAAAAAGAAAGAAGAAAGAAAAAGAAGAAAAAAGAAAAAGAAAGAAAAAAATGAAAAATTAAAGAAAAAGAAAGAAAGAAAAATGAAGAAATTAAAGAAAGAAGTAAAGAAAGAAAAATGAAGAAATTAAAGAAAGAAGGAAAGAAAGAAAAAAATGAAGAAATTAAAAAAAAGAAGAAATTAAAGAAAGAAAAAAAAAGAAAAATTAAAGAAAGAAGGAAAAAAAGAAAAATGAAGAAAAAGAAAGAAAGAAAAATTAAAGAAAGAAAAGAAAGAAAGAAAATTAAAGAAATTAAAGAAAAGAAAGAAAGAAAGAAGGAAAAGAAAAAAAGAAGGAAAGAAAGAAAGAAAGAAAAAAAGAAAAAGAAAATTAAAAGAAAAATGAAAAAGAAAAAATGAAGATAAATGAAGAAATTAAAGAAAAGAAGGAAAAAAGAAAGAAAGAAAAAGAAAAAGAAAGAATTAAAGAAAGAAAAAAAATTAAAGAAAAGAAAGAAAAATGAAAATAAAAAGAAAGAAAGAAAAAAAATGAAAAATTAAAAAGAAAAAGAAAAATGAAGATAAAGAAAGAAAGAAAAAAAGAAAGAAAAATTAAAGAAAGAAAAATGAAAAATTAAAGAAAAAAAAATGAAGAAATAAAAGAAAGAAAGAAAAGAAAGAAAGAATGAAAAATTAAAGAAAAAGAAAGAAAGAAAAAGAAATTAAAGAAAAGAAAGAAAGAAAAATGAAGAATTGAAGAAAAATAAAAAGAAAAGAAAGAAAAGAAAAAAAAGAAAAAGAAAATTAAAAAGAAAAAAGAAATTAAAGAAAAAATGAAGAAATTGAAAGAAAGAAGAAAGAAAGAAAAATGAAGAAATTAAAGAAAAAAAATGAAAAAAAAAAGAAAGAAAAAAAAGAAGAAAAAAGAAAGAAAAAAAGGAATGAAAAAGAAAATAATGAAAATGAAAAATTAAAGAAAGAAATTAAAAAAAATGAATAAATAAAGAAAGAAAAAAGAAAAAAGAAATTAAAGAAAGAAGGAAAAAAAAAAATGGAAATTAAAGAAAAAGAAAAAGAAAGAAAAGAAAGAAAGAATGAAGAAATTAAAGAAAGAAGGAAAGAAAGAAAAAATGAAGAAAATTAAAGAAAAGAAGGAAAGAAAGAAAGAATGAAAAAAGAAATTAAAAGAAAAGAAAGAAAAAGAAAAAAATGAAGAAATGAAAGAAATTAAAGAAAGAAAAGAAAGAAAAAAAGAAAAAATTAGAAAAGAAAGAAAAAGAAAGAAAGAAAAAGAAAGAAAAGAAGAAAGAAGGAAAGAAAGAAAGAAATGAAGAAATTAAAGAAAGAAAAAATGAAAGAAAAAGAAGAAAGAAAAAGAAAGAAGGTAAAAAAGAAAGAAAAAGAAGAAAGGAAAAAGAAAAATTAAAGAAAAAAATTTTGAAAGAAAAAGAAAGAAAAAAAATTAAGAAAAGAAATAAAAAAAAAAAGGAAAGAATGAAGAAGAAAAGAAAGAAGGAAATTCAGATGAAAGAAAAATCAAATAAAGAAATTGAAGAAAGAAAAGAAAAAAAGAAAAAAAAGAAGAAAATTAAAGAAAGAAGAAAAAAAGAAAAATGAAGAAAAAAAGAAAGAAAGAAATTAAAAGAAAGAAAAGAAAGAAAGAAAAGAAAGAAAAATTAAAGAAAGAAGGAAAGAAAGAAAGAAAAGAAATTAAAAAAAAAGAAAGAAAGAAAGAATGAAGAAATTAAAGAAAGGAAAAAGAAAAATGAAAAAGGGAAAGAAAGAAAAAGAAAGAAAAATGAAGAAATTAAAGAAAGAAGTAAAGAAAGAAAGAATGAAGAAATTAAAGAAAGAAGGAAAGAAAGAAAAATGAAGAAATTAAAGAAAGAAGGAAAGAAAGAAAGAATGAAGAAATTAAAGAAAGAAGGAAAGAAAGAAAAATTGAAGAAATTAAAGAAAGAAGTAAAGAAAGAAAGAAATGAAGAAATTAAAGAAAGAAGGAAAGAAAGAAAAAATGAAGAAATTAAAGAAAGAAGTAAAGAAAAAAAATGAAGAAATTAAAGAAAGAAAGAAAAAAAAGAAAGAATTAAGAAAAAGAAATGAAAAAAGAAAGAAAAGAAATTAAAGAAAAGAAAGAAAGAAAAAAAATGAAGAAATTAAAGAAAAGAAAGAAAAGAAAATGAAGAAATTAAAAAAAGAAAGAAAGAAAATGAAAAAATTGAAAAAAAAGAAAGAAAAGAAAATGAAGAAATTAAAAGAAAAGAAGGAAAGAAAAATGAAGAAAGAAAGAAAAAGAAAAAAAAAGAAGAAAAAAAGAAAAGAAAAAAGAAAAAAAATGAAGAAATTAAAGAAAAAAGAAAAAAGAATGAAGAAATTAAAAGAAATCCCTCTCAAAGAAAAAAGAAAAGAAAATGAAGAAATTAAAGAAAGAAGGAAAGAAAGAAAAAATGATGAAAAGAAAGAAGGAAAAAAGAAAAAAGAAGAAAAATTAAAAAAGAAAAAAGAAAGAAATGAAGAAATTAAAAGAAAAAAAATGAAAGAAAGAAAGAAAAGAAAGAAAAATGAAATTAAAGAAAGAAGGAAAAAAAAGAAAAATGAAGAAATTAAAGAAAAAGAAAAGAAAAGAAAAGCATTTAAATTAAAGAAAAAGGAAAGAAAGAAAAGAAAAGAAATTAAAGAAAGAAGAAAAAAAAAAAAAGATGAAGAAATTAAAGAAAGAAGGAAAAGAAAGAAAGAATGAAGAAATTAAAGAAAGAAAAAAAAAAGAATGAAGAAAAAGAAAAAAAAGAAAAAAGAAAGAATGAATGAAGGAATTGAAGAAAGAAGGAAAGAAAGAATGAATAAAGGAATTGAAGAAAGAAGGAAATAAAGAAAGAATGAAGAAATTAAAGAAAGAAGTAAAGAAAGAAAAATGAAGAAATTAAAGAAAGAAGTAAAGAAAGAAAGAAAGAATGAAGGAATTGAAGAAAGAAGGAAAGAAAGAAAGAATGAAGAAATTAAAAGAAGAAATAATGAATGAATGTTAGAAAGAATAAAATTATAAATGAAATTATCTTCACTCATTGAAAAAAGATGAAACGAATGAATGAAAAAAATGATCTTGACTAATAGAAAGAAAGAATTAATGAATGAATGAATGAATGAATGAAAAGAGGGAAAACGAAAGACTGGATGAATTAGAGAAAGAAATATGAATATTAAAAAAAAAGTAAAACCCTTCAAATGGAATTATCTTGACAAATTGAAAGGAAGAAATATCAAATGAATGAAAGCAAGTTTGACACCACAAAGTAAATT